ATAAAGAGGTACAGTCCTACATCTCCAATTTTTTTGCCTTATTTCACCAAAATTTGACAGTCCTCTAACCTGCTAAGTAAAGGCAGGAATATGGGAGGAGGGAGTTTAGCACAAGAACTGGATGTTAATGCTTGTTTCCCAGCTAGCTCTTCAGCTTTTCTTGTGCCCTCCCTACTAGTTCCGACATCCCATATCTGCCACATAAGGTAGTTTTGGACTCATATTTGGTTCATCTATAGCAGTTGTACTAAGATTGGATCAAGCAGCTATCAAAGATCCATACACATGACAACCAACTGGATGAAAGACAGATACTGCTTTCTTTAGACAAGATACTAAGAATCAAACTCCACCAATACAAAACTTTATTAGTTGCCAATCTACTGAAGTCTGCTGGAAACAAATCCATTATTATAGCCAGTAGTACTCAATGTCAGAAAGCTACCCATTCTGAGTGCACCATTCTGCTGTCAGACATCATAGAATGGTTTGGGTTGGAAGGGAACTTCAAGATCATAGTTCCTACACTCCTGCCATGGGCAGGGACATCTTCCGCTAGACCAGCTTGTTCAGGGCCCCATCCAACTTTCCCTTAAGCACTTTCAGGGATGGGGTATCCACAACTTCTTCAGACAACCTATTCCAGTGCCTCACAACCCTCTAAGACTCTCTTCCTAACATCCAATCTAAGTATCTCATCTTTTAGTTTAAATGCATTTCCCCTTGTCCTGTCACTATCTGCCCATGCAAAAAGTCACTCTATTTTTCCTAAGCCTCCTTTAAATACAGGAAGGCTGCAATGTGGTCTCCTCAAGAGCCTTCTCCATGTTCAAAAACCCCAGCTCTCTCATCCTGTTGAGTACTTCTGAAACTCTCTGAGCCCTAACAGACCACACCGAGTAGGACTACAGCAGTCCTCAAAAGCTAAACCTTTGAAGAGACACAATATACTGCTGCAATCAAGCTGCGTTTCTACTTTTGAGTAATATCCACTGCATGACCATGCAATATTAACAAGCTTGCAAACAGAGCAGTCACAACAAGAATCTTCAGTAGAGATAAGGGACCTCTTTTATGCAACACTTAATAAGCACACAAATATAGCAGCTAAGATTTGCTTAGTTTCTAAGCTTACAAGGAACACAAACACCTGTGACAGGAGCACGTTCAGCTGCACTTCTGGGGTGCTGGAGCCCACAATTCAGTAACTTCCCAACTCTAGCACAGCCCAAGTCTCCAAAAATGGCAGTATTTTCCCCCATTTTCTTCCTAGAGATCCTCAAAAATCTTATATTACTCAGGAACCACTGGTTATTTTCAGCATCTTCATCAAATTGTTACTGATAGGGCTTGCGCTGCATTATAATTGGGTCTGAGCACTATCTCACTTATGAAAGGAACTACACGGAGCTTAGTACTGCCCTCCAAAGCAACCAGAAGTTCATCAGAAAGACTACTTCAAATAACAAGGTCAGGCTAGAAGGAGAAAACAAACCACTGCCCCACTTCACTACCCAAAGGTCATAGCAATGAGCTGAACCTGGTGCAAATTCCCACTAATCCCAGGATTAGGAGGCCACACAACAGCTTTAAAGTTGCTCCTTTAAGTGAGGAACTCAACTGTTAAGAATTGTAGGACCAGCCAATAACCTGTTTTCCTCCTAAAGAAAAACCTTACCAGTCACAACTTTTTCAGAAGGGCTCATTGTAACACAAAGCCTGAAGTGGTGTGCAAAGGAAGTTCCTGTCGTGCTGCTGTTCGAGTGTTGAACACAGTCTTTCCATACCCAGGTGGATAAACTGATCAGTTGTCAGTCACTAAGACCTCCTTTACTACATGCAAATAATGCAAATTCATTTGACTAGTGACCACTGTGACCCACAAGTATAACTAGCTTATAACATTTTATAACTAGCTCGGAACTCATCCTGTAGGAACAATTCTTCATTGAATACCCCAGCTATTAGGCTACCAGCCACTTCTGGAAGAAGCAAGCCTATTTCAAGTTTTACCCTGTTCCAACAAAATAAGCTGAACTTAACTAGGCTACAGTTCAAAAGTAGTAACATTTCACTTTTGTAGGCTACAATTTCAGTCAGTCTAAAGTGGTCTTGCCACCTACAACTGCAGGTCAATCTAGAATCATGCTCGACCCCTTTAAGCAGTGATTCTAGTTACACCAGCCTTTAAGAGCTGCCTGTCAAAATTCCCTAATAATTGTATCTTTGGTGAGAAAAAGCATACCTAACTTCACTAACAATAAAAACCTGCACATCTCCATTTTCCCAGCAGCTGCTTCTTTCTACTCCTTTTCAAAGGGAAGCATTTGTGAATCCACACAATGAACATTCACATTAGAAAGCCATCCATTACAATTAGGCTTATGTTAGATCCATTCCTCACTACTACTTCCCCCCCCCCTCCCACTTACAGAAGCAAGAATGAACAGCTGAGAAAAGGTGCAGGATCATCTTTCAGCATGGGTACCACTTCAACTGTTTCAGCTATGACATTAATGCATACTCTGATCTATTACACTGTTAGTATCCCTCTCCTTTCTCCCCTAAATACCCTTGAAATCCTGTCAGTCCCTTTGTAGGCTAAAGGTAAACAACAGTGTTTAAATAACAGGTCTTCGCAAAGGCTCAGACCACATATACATGCACAGACAGGCTTCCACGGCAAGTCAGAACCACAACTCTAACTGCTGGGTAACGGCTGGATAACGTCCAGCCAACTGAAATATCCTCATTAAAGGAGCGAATTGTAGTTCAGTAGAAATTGTTACTCTCCCTGGTAAGCTGTGACCATAAAATGTAAACTTACGTGCCCGTTTTTACCCAGTCTCCCCCTCCTACAGCTCTTTTCCCTCCCCTTTCCTTCCAGATTAACACACAGCTTGCATCAGACTGGCCTTTGGGCAAATCCCCTCCCCTAAGGTTTCCGTCTCAGAGAAGTATGCGCATTTGGTTTTTACTCATCGCCCTCGGCAGAAGTAGTTCAGAATACATCAGACGTTGTTTTGAGACTGCACTGCAACACTGCTGGAGCTACTGTTTCTTTCAAGATAACTAATACTGCTTCCCTGTGAACAGCTAATAAAAACACCTAAAAACAAACAAGAAATTATTACCACCTCATTAAAACTTGTCTTCATTTCTATAGCTTCATGAAAGCACAGCCACACCTCTGTTCAAGTACTGCGGCAATAAGCTGCCAGTTACAGAGAACTCTCAAAGTAGTGCATTTCTTGGTTTCCAAGCAAAATCTGATACAAAAGTGAGCTACCTAAAAGGCTGCTTTAAGAATTAAAACTCTAGGTGCCATTTTTAAGTTTTTCATTCCCAGGTATTCTATAACATAAGCATTCAAACAAGTCTCTTACAGTGAGGTAGGCAATTACTCCCTGTTTCATAATTATAGAACACAAGCCTAAACGTAAGTACTAATAAAAATATGGAGGTTTTCCTCATCTTTTAGTTCAAATTAATGCTCTTCCTTTAACACATCTGCAAAGAGTATTCACACATAAATCTGTTCTGTATTAAACGAGTCATTGTACACTGAAAGCCCCTCTGGAAGCTTCCATTACAAAGTATTTTCCTTGTGTCATACTATGACTACACAAGAAGAATCAGTAATCCAGTGGTCAACAAACCAACTGCCTCCTCCTAACACCATTTCCGGGAAGCCACCTTTCCCCCCTCAAAAAAAAAAAAAAAAAGAAAGCCCACAACCTCTAGGACTCAAGAATCCTGTTCTTTATACTAGTATGCACAGAACTAGGTTGGCACAATGCTCAGCTGACAGCCACCTTCAGACACTCAAAAAAAGGGGAGCTGCTGAAACTGAGCTTATGTCCTAAAAGGTAAACTCAAATGAGACTCCGGACTTTTGAAAGCTTCACACTATGTCATTCTTAATTACTGCCTTCTCTCTTTCTTTCCTGGTATCCTCTATATAACCTACAAAGGAAAAATGTAGTGCTATTAGATGCTTCCAATCCTGTTTTTCTACCCCTCCTCCCACAACATAGGGATGCCCTGCAGGCTGTATATGCAACCAATATGGACTGGTTAGAGTAACTCCCAAGGCCCCAGTCAGTTCTTATGTAACTGGACTCCACCTCACCATACTACTTATGTAACACATATTAAGGACCACCTATTATACAGGAATCTTCTATATTACTCATACACTGTTACTTTCATTCCAGTAGTTCTCAAATACCATTCACGAAATATTCAAGCTTTGTCCCCTACCAGCTTACTACTGGGAAAGTAAAAAGAAAAAAAAATCTTATCTATCTGGGGACAAACTAACAGAAAAAGTGAAACATTTTTAAATAGAATAAACCTCCACCCTTAAAGCATCAGCAATTTTAACTGTTAATTTGTTCATTGGGTTAGATGCAGTGGCTAAATTTACACCGTGGCATACAAGAACAAGACATGGGAACTGGCACTGTACAGCTTTGAAAGCTCAAGAACCTCACCCAAACAGTAAGATTTGCATTCCTTAAAGAAAAGCATTAGGATTGGTAAACATACATTTTTCACTTCCCCTGCATCAAAATATTTAAAAAATAGAAGACCCAGAAAATATATTTGCCAATCTTCCAAGCCTACCCAGACCTGTGTAACGAGTTCATTTGCCTGTGAACCTCAGAAAATACAACATGGGGAGTCCTCACAATATTCGCAAACCACAGTTTTCATCTGCACTAAGTATATACATCAATTCCTGTGTTATAGAAACAGGCCCCTGTGACCTGACTTCGGAATACACACATCGCCCCACAGAAAAGCTGCTCAACACCCTACAACAGGATCCAACAACACACAAATAAAAGAACAGCGATCCACTTTTCCTGTTCAAACAGAATAAAGTCATGAACACCTCGCAGATTCTCCCTTGGCCCCCCCGCCCAGTACTCCCAGCAGAGCAACAATGGAGCAGCCACGACCTCCTCGTCAGAAGAACAACTCCGCATAGCCTGTGCGTTTTCCTCAGCGGCTTTAATGAGGTCATTTAAACATCGCTTAAACCGACTGTTTCGGTAGGAACCACTCCGTGACCCCGGGAGCCTAACCGGGAGCAGAGTGCCCTCGCACCGGGCGGGCACCACCGTGAGCGCACCCGGCTCCCACGCTCGGGCGGAGCCAGCAGGCGCCCAGGGGGAACTTTCCCTGGCGGTGGGTAAAGCCTTGCGCAGAGAGGGGGCGGAATGGAAAGCTTCCCCCGAGAGCAGCTACACCCTGGAGGTGGGTGGAGAGTAAGGAGAGAAGCGAGAACCTTCCTCGGTAGCAGCTACACCCTCGTGCACAAGGCTGATGGGGGAAGGGAACCAGCGCGGGACCGACGGCGTGGTGCGGGAGGAGGGGGGGAAGCCCGGGCTGTCCCGGGCAACCGCCGCCGCCTAAGCCAGCTTGGTCCGCAGCCAAACCCCACAGGAATGCAACGCGGTCACATGACCTCCGGCGGACGTGCAACTCCCTTCCCTCTCCAGGGACACCCTGCGCCATCTTGTACTGACGCAGTTACAAAGGCAGACACGAGTTGCTCCCCTCTCGCTCTTCCCCCGCTCCTCTCCGCACAGCCCCAGCACTGTTTGGGAAGAAGCCCAGGCCTGGTTCTCCTTTCCTTTTCCACCAGCTCTTCGCGGACGCCTTGCCCGCGGAGTTCCTCCCTGGCGCTGGGATCATGGCGCCCGTTTTCTCCCTTTGCCTCCCCCGGCAGCTCCCGACCCTGCCCAGCTGCGGCTGCCCCTGCTGCAGGATGATGTCAGCGCCAGCCAATCAGGGCGCGCCGGGCCACCCCAGCCGGCCCGGCCATTGGCTGCCGCGCCGCTCCCGCCCCCCTCCTGACTCGAGCTCCGCCGCGGTTCGCTGCGGAGCCGCAGCCAAGGCACAAGTGCGGGGAGGGGAAGAGGAGGGGAAGAGGAGGAAAAAAAAAAAAGGCAACCCTACACAAAAAACCGACAACCAAACCCACCAAGACGCCAGCCGCCATTTCGCGCAACAACAGGCAGAACCCGAGCGAGCAGCCCCAGCCAAGCGCCCTAAGGAGAGAGAGAGAGAGAGAGAAAGAAACAAGAGACACACGCACAGAAGAGTTAGACAGGAAAAAATACCCATAGACTCCGCCATGATCACAAGACGTTTAATCGCCCCCCCTCCTCCCTTAGACTTAATGCCCCATTACAGCCGCCTCCTCTGCGTCCAACCAGCTAGCAGATCCCTTCACCTCGGCTCCCTCCTGCCGCAGCAGCAGCTGTTTAGAGCCCCAAACTCTCTGTGCTCAAGGTGTGGGGGGACGCTAGTCTATGGCGCTGCTGCTAACTGCTTCTCCAGTCACCCGAATGTTGCGGCTCCATCGAGGCAGGGTAAGAGCTGCCAGCCCAGCTTTTATCTGGTGCCCCGAGTTTGCGCACTGAAGGAGGCTCGCTCAGCCCCTGGTGGGCGTCGAATGAAACCCCAGCCGCCGCCTCCCCTCCCTCAATCAGCCGTATCGCTGGAGGGGCTGAAGTCGGGCAGGGGAGACAGGGCGGTGTGCGGGCAGAGCATGGACCTGGGAGGAGATATGGTGGCAGGAAGAAGGGCTTGGTATAAATGGCAAAAGCTGCATCTGCCCCGAAACGCTGAGCGAGCTCCTGGCTTTGCCAGCGCCGCTGGTCCGGATGGAAGCACGCTATTCCTGCTCCTGAGCGCCGTTCCCTCAAGGGCAAACGAGGCTCGTTCGCTGTTCGTCTCGTTCCCCGCTAAACGCGTTGTGCTGTCCCACTTGCTTTAAGGAAAGAAGCTCTCTCCCACTTGCCTTATATATGAGTCCTAAACGCTTCGGGGAAGATTCTCAGCCTCGAGTGTCTTACTGAGAGATTCAGTCAAAACCTCCTGAGCGGGTCTCGGCCAAAGCTCCCGCTCTTTGCTCGCCCCCCTCTTCCCCGCCCCTCAGTAAGTTCCTCTGCGTGTGTGAGATCCGGCGGGTCTGTCCGGCTTTTCGCGCAGCTTGTGGCGAAAATGTGCTCAGTCTAAGGTTCACAAAGAACATGCATGCCGAGAGCATCGACGGTCGTGAGGAAGAAGCCGGAGGTCGGGGTGGGGGAGAGCGGCCGACGAGGGAGTTTTGGCATTCGTTCATCGGAGGATGCAGCTCTGACTCAGACATCCTCGCTCCCGCCCGCGCTCGGCCCCACAACAGGCCGCGAAGGAGCCCCCGCCCCTCCCGCGCGGGCTGCGCCGCCGGGGCTGCGGATCGCCCCCGGCGCCAGCCCCCGCTGCAGCCACCCCTCCTCCGCTGCCCTACTTCCCTCCTCACGGCCCCCCTGCCCAGCCCCTGCCGCAGTCTGGTGCCGCGGCCGCGCCCAGACCCCCCGAGCTGTTCAGCCGTGTTGTAAAATGGACACTGAGGGCTCGGCGGGCGCGGACTGCGCTCCGGGCCCGTAAGTAAAATGGCGGCTGTTTGGCTTCGCCTTGGTAACCCTGCCCCTGTCAGGCGGGGCGGGTGAGCCCCGTGCAGGGGGAGGGAGGGGAGAGCGGACGCCATTTTCCCAGAGAGAGGCAGTGACATAGAAGGGAGCGTAGGAGGCTGGAGGGAGGGAGGCACGGGAGCAGCGGCGGCAGCAGAGGGGTTTGTACACAGGTCCCAGGGCAAGGGCGCCTCTGAGCTGGTCCCTGTAGGGTTCTGCGCACTGAGCTAGGTTTGGGGGGAGGGGGGGTCTCCTCTTTCCGTTTTCTTTCTTTTACTAGAACCTGCTGAGGGCTGAGTCCTGTCTAGGGTAGGGATATCCGCAGTGGGGCTGTTGCATTGTTTTGGTTGGGATAGAGAAGGGGCTCAGCTGAGGGGTCCTGCTGCCTGGCCTGTGACCATTACAGGTGAGTCTTTGGTTATTATCAGCATATTCTGCTGTGGGTGCTTTGGGGGAGGGGGGGGTGGCAGAAAGGGAATGAAATGCGACGGGAACGTCTCATTACCCTCGGTGCGAGTATAACTCCTTCCCACCATGAAATGCGTTTAATTTCTGTTTAAGTTGCCTTGAATTTGCTTTTCCTTTTGTGGGGGTTTGGTTAAAAAATGGCAGGCTGTCGCTATATCTTGTGAATATGGCGGGTTACTGTAACTGGAGGAGCTGAAGAGAATTTTTTGGCAGTTACGCCAGATTTATGCATTATGCTTGGAAAATGAGCCAGAAGGAGCTATTATGTGACAACATGGGCTTCCTTGGGCTGGCGGATTTCAGAACGGGTTTGTGCCTTATTGGGACTGCGTATTGAGTTTTACGAAGCTTGGGGAAGCCTATTCTTTTCCTCCATCCTGTATATTTTTGCTTTGTGGTACTAAAATGGCTCGTTATAGGCCTAATCTCTCTGCCTTCCACACCCCCGCCTCCCTGCCTCCCTCCCTGTTAATATCTCCGCTTCGAGGTGTAACCTGGACAAACGGAGAGCAGTCCCCAGGAGTTTCTGTGCCAATTTAAAAGGGGATCATTCTCCCCACCCCCTTTCCCCAGGCTGTAAGTAGTTACACTGGTGCATCCCTTTCTTGCTTTAGTTTCTGCAGCCGGTGTTCGTGTTCCCTGGGTGGCATATTTCAGTCTCTCTCTTGAAGCGATAAGTATTGGTGGGTTAGGCCCTATTGCTGCAGACATGGGGGAGGAAAAACAAACGGTTCACTGTGTAGTACTAAATAGGGTAGAGAAACATAATATAGCCTGATTATAAAGGTCTTGTATTCCCCTATACTCGGCCATTAGGGAATGTGCGGTGCTTGAAAGCCCTGAGGTCCCCTGAAATGGTACATACTACGTGTCGTAAAAAGCAGAAGTTCAGTGCTGCATCTAGATTTAGGAATGTTTTAATCTGTTTATTTACACTACCTTAAAAGAATAATAATGAAGCGTTTTTGTTACTCAGGGCTCAGATCGGCGAAAAGAAAGAGATATGCATGGCTTCAGTTACAATGCATGATTAATTGATAATCGTCACTATACTTTTAAAGTTACTTTTAAAAAAATGTGGAGCAAATTTTTTAATTTCCCTCTTTTGTCCTTTAGAGATTCTAAAAATGGCGGCCTCAGGCTGATGTTGTGGTAATCTAATCAGCTCGGGTCCTCCACACCCCATGCAGTGCGTTTGTCTGCAGCATATTAGAGTCTTACTATGTTTAAATGAAAAGGCTGTTCCCTTCAAATAACGTACAAAACATCTCTTGACTTTACTACGATTTAAAAATGCTGTGTTCCAGCTGATTAATGTTATTGGTTATGTGTGTGAAAGGCAAGTGAACGAGACCACTCTGTTCGGGGAGAAGGGGGGTGGAAAGAGGCAACAGACTCAAGCAGCTCCTTCGAGGGGTGTGTATATGTTGCTGTAAGGTTAATATGTATGTCAGTTTAATAATTTGGAAAAGCCCCTGCGTTTGTGATAGACACTGTACGTCTGTCCGTCCTGTTAACGACACAAAATCAGTAATATTTATCAACACAAGTAGTGGATTAAGATCACTAAGCTAAATTCTTTGTGGAAGCACATTTGTGAACGTCATGTTCACCTTCCAGGAAACACCTTCGCTGGACATCAGTGTAGTAATTGCATGTATTCCTAGTGTGAGGATGCAAAATGAACTTAATACTTAAAGGAATAATGCATGCCGGATTATAACCTGTTACTTTATTAAGAAGCGAAATTTCTTTTACCATGTAATCTTACCATTACGTTTTTTCTTCAGTTTATTTTGCGTATTGCTGTATAAATTGTGTATGTGGTAATACACATCCAAATGTTGAGAGAAGGTGCAGTTCATAAGCTCTAATTTTTTTCCTAAATGAAATATGAACCTTTTAGTATCACCACTATAAATATGTTTGAGTGGGGGGAAGGGAGGTCACAAGGATTTATTATTTGGTAGTTGGTGTAGTGTACTCTGATACATACTATGGAGGCTGCAACTGTATGTTTTAAAAAACATTAAAAGAAATTTTCACTTTAATGCTTATCTTTAATCTCATCCTTAACTTAATGAGATATGAATTCCTATTCCAATATAGATTTAGAACCTTCTGGATTTAAACAATCAAAAGTGAGGCATTGAAATGGAAAAACTGTCTTCAATCTCTGAAAAATTTTAATTTAGATACTATTTAGAAGCACTGATGTGTGATTTAAAGTGTACCTAAAGTTGAACAGTAAGATAATTAGACTTCCAGGGTGTTATTAATGCATGCCTTTAGTGTGTTTTGAGGCCAAAGTCTAAGGGATTTTGTTAATTCTCCAGTAATGCATGCTCCTATCATTTTTATTTATAAAGATAGGATTTTTTTTTTCCATAAACCATGTCTTACTCTGTTTGTTTAAAAATACATTTATAAAAGTCCAAAGAGTGTATTGGCCTTTATGGAAACCTTTTGCCTTTTTCTTTCCTCTCCCTAGGTTGAAAACTCCTGTTCTTGATTTTTTTCTGATATTATGACCTAGAGGGCTATACAGCTGCAGCTCTTCATGGCCTCAGTCATGTTCTCAAGCAGACATCTGATTCACAATTAGGAGAAAAGAATTTTGTACAGTTTACAGAAAGTGATGGGGGAGTAATGAAATAAAACTAAAAATACTAATTTTCAAATTTTACAGCTTATTTTATAGATTGCCAAATTTTATGCACTAAAAACCTCTTGGGAATTTATAGAGATCTTCAGAGTTTTCCTGTGTGAGTTCTAATGAGTCAGTTTGCCTTCGTGACTCAGTTTCTCCATTTGTAAAAAGAGATTTGTGATTTGTTTTAAGGAGACAACACTACAAAACAAATTCTACTTTATTTTGTACTCCACTGATGTTTCTATGTGTATATTCATAAAGAATGACATACCCTGCCTGCAAAACTAATGCAAACTTCTTGAAAGAGGGAAGGTTTGAAATCTAAATTTCATTTTTTTTCAAGGCAGACTTCTGTTTGACAAACATTGTGTTACAAATGCAGTAGTATGGACTGGAGTTATCAAACCATTTATGTATCGTGAAGCTTTTCATATCTGAAGGAAAAGTTTGCTTATGTTTCACTTAGCCTTTTGGGTGAGATTTTTTTTGCCATCTGGGAAATTCCAGAGGAGAAATAATACTGACTCTTTAGACTAAATCTGGGGAAAGTTTCTCTTAGAGTAACCTCTTTAGGTTACTTTGAGGTAATGCAGCTCCTAATTTCCTCTTGGGCAATTTCAGCACACACCACTGTTAATATTGTGTTGGAAAGCAACAGAAATACAGAAATAGGTGTGTCACTTAAGGTTGTAGTGTTTCTCCAGGACTGATCTTGGTTTGATTTAAGGGCAGTCTTAATTTTGCATGCATGCTAATACTAATTTTAGTAAGGACTATTTGTGGGACTGATTTAAGGAGTGGTGTATGTAATTGTGAAATCTTAGTATTATTCTAACTAGATTAATGTAAGTGAAGGTTTAATGAAAGTATTTTGCTGTTGTCATGTGCCGTTTTGATAAAATCTGGTGGGGGGATGTAGATGAGTGAAGATATAAAATAGAACCCAGTTTAGATTTCTGGAGTGATCCTAAAGAACTGCATCTATGTTATTGGCCTTGAGACTTCCATACAGATGAGCATTTGTGAATCTCTCAAAAGCAAATTTTGTTGGACAGTGTTTTTTGGACAGGTATAGTGTTTAAATGTTTCCACTATGCAAAGAGTAGTTTTGATTTATTGTCAAGAATGAAACTTAAGACATATCTGTGGGGAAAAAAAGTTTTAGCAGATGTACAATGTGGATTAAGAAAAAAACACAAACTTTTAAATTCTTCCAAATTGTGGATTATTTAAAATAGTAATTGTAGTGGGCTTTTCAATGGTGTAAGATGGATTTTTCTATGTACTTCAGTGTTCACATTTTCTTAGTAACCAAAGAATTGTGCCCACAAAAGTTAACCTAATGTCTTTGAAGATCCAAAATTCTGCTCATGACCTTCATACTACAGAAAAAACCTTCTATAGTTGTGTTCAAAGAAAAACTGTTGTTACCTTTAAGGCATAACAAACAAATTACTTAAAAGGAACCTTTTCAAGATTTCATATACTTGCTAGGAGATACTGAGATTATTTTTATTTCCTTTTGCAGATATTAATGTATTAATGAAACAGGCAAGATTTTAAGCTCTGCTGGTGGTTAGAAAATTTTAATAATTAAGGTTATCTGTAAGCCTTTGAAGACAATTTTATTGAACAAAACGTATGGTTTTTAACGTGCCTGATTTAAGTGTTTGGTTATCTTATCTTTTAAAA